TGGGTTGTGCATTTGGCCGTGAGCGGCAGAGTCAGCAGTTCAAACCCACCATCCCTTCACGGGAGAAAGAAGAGGCTACCTGCTCCCGTAGAGGTACAGTCTGAAACCCACAGAGGCAGTTCTCGGTCCTGTAGGATCGCTAAGTTGGAATGGATGGAGTGGCAGTGAATTAAGTGATGGGCTGCTTTCAAATCCACCAGCCACCTCAAGTGAGATAGATGAGGCAGTGCGCTTCCATGAAGACCTACAGCCTTCGACACCCGGGGAGCAGTGTTACCCTGCCCTACACGGTCCCTGCAAGTCAGACTCCACCCGACAGCAGTGGCTGTCCCTCGGTTTTTTAGGCCAGATCATGAAGAGCCTCAAGTTGGGGCTTCTGTCTAAGCCAGGCGAGCTTTTCCAGCTGCGTGGACAGTGCTGGGCTGTGCTGAGCATGTACGGGAGGAGGACGGAGCTGCCAGGATGCTTTGACAGGAGAAGGGAGGGTGGTGAGCTTGTGGGAAGGGGCAGCAGGTCTGACCAGAAGGTGGAGTGAGGTATGGGGTGGAGGTGGAGTGGAGTCAGAGTTAGGACCTTTGAGGAGGGAGGGAGGGAGTCTTCCAGGTAGACACCAGAGTAAGATAGGCAGCGTTGAGCATCAGGATGCTTCTGGCCCAGGACCTGTTGAGGGACCCAGGGGGTCCATTGTGGGTGCCCAGTCCCTGCCCGTCTAGAGAAGCCAGGTGGGCAGGAGGCCTGTGTGCTGACACTCATTCGTAGCTGTCAGGGCCGAGTGGACTAGCACGGACAGCACGTAGCACCAGGGGTGCACCAGCCAGTCAGCGGTGACATGGCAGAGCCCCGTCCAGCAAGGGATGGGTCTTGTGGAACCATGACTCTCCCTGAGGTGCTGATGGGCCCTGGCAGAACCCCTACCACTCCTGGGTGGCCCTTGAGTGAGTTGTCACCCTCTGTGTCCTTTCCTCTTGGCAGGAGATCACGGACCAGGACATGTTCGGAGATGGCACCACCAGCCTGGCTGTGCCAGAGAAAGTGAAAACCCCCCTGAAGTCCAGCAAGCCTGACCTGCAGGGCTCTGCCTCCCCCAGGTGCTCCTGGTCGGGGGAGCTTCCGAAGGCAGGGGAGGGGGTCGTGGAGGAAATGGAGGCGCTACAGACCACGGCTGTGCTTCCCCTGGTCCCTCCCAGGGGAACAGACTGGCCATTAACCTCCCTCTCCTGCCCTGACAGCAAAGTGGACACGGTGCACACACCCCGGCAGAAGAGGAGCACACCCCTGAAGGAGCGGCAGCTCTCCAAGCCCCTGAGCGAGAGGACCAACAGCTCCGACAGCGAGCGCTCCCCTGACCTGGGCCACAGCACACAGGTACCTCGGGGCCCCTGCCAGGGCCGGGACGCTGAGCTGCTCCGGACCGCGCTCTCTGTTTTGTATTCTGCCTCGGACAGTTAATGGTGCAGGAAAGGAGAACCGCTGAATAAAGAGTGCCATCAGAAGAGTCTCATCTAGTTGTCGTTCCTAGTGTGCAGAGTGGATGGGGCTCTGTGCTGAGTGACAGCTGTCCTCATCCCAGCCTGCAATCCGTCACCCACTAGCAGCCAGTCCAACCCTTCCGGTTTGTTCTGCCATCTCTGCCCTCCAGCAGATGTGAGTCTGGAGATTGACTGGCAGACTCTTCCAGAAGATGGTATCAGAGTTTGAATCGTGTCCCCTCTCCTCCAAAGAAAGCGTGTGTCGACCTGGCTGGGCCCCGGTCCTCAGTGACTTGGCAGTAGCACCATGATAAAACTTGGTGCCTATAGAATGGTGTGCAGCCCCATCATGTGGTCTACCCAGACGAGCCAGGCATTTGTAAGAGGATCCGGTGGGCTTACTCAGGCCACAGCCCTGATGCAATGCCATGGGGGTTTCCCTGCGGTGTGGCCTGTATCACATAAGAGACAAAAGGAGAGAGAAGCCGTCTGAGCAAGAGGCACTGGATGACCACCAGGATCAGAGCGCGGCCTTTGGAGCCAGGGTCCCTATGCTAAGAACTGATAGACCCTGGGGAAGATGGGTGCCGAGACGCATGCAGGCCTCCAAGGATGCCCGGCCCACAGATGCTGAAAGAAGACAAGGACCCTCCTCCAGCGCCAGCAGAGAAAGCTCTGCCGAACATCCGGCCCCTAGAAATGGGGAGAATAGATTTTCTGTCTGTTAGAGCCGTGTACTTAGCAGTATTCCTGCCATAGCATCACTCAGCGACTATGGCAGAATTTGGCAACAGGACTGGGTGCTGCTCTTCACAGATACCTAGCACGTGGAAGTGGTTTTGGAATTTGGGAATGGGAAGAGATTTAAAGTGCCTTATAGTAAAGCCTTTGTGTGGACTTCGGACACGTCGTCAGGGCAGCCAACCCTTGGAAAAGGAAATCATGCTTGGTGAAGTAGAAGGGCAGCGAAAACGAGATGACCTGTGATGGGCGGATTGAAACAGCAGCCGCAATAATGACCTCCCACCTAAGAACCATGTGAGGGTGATGCAGGACCAGGTGGGGTGCACGGGGCCGCTCCGAGCTGGGACCAACGCAGAGCACCTGACAGCAGTACTAAAAGCCTAGGTGGGCCTGGAGAGATTTTGGCGGAACCATGGACGTCAGAGGCAGTTCTGACGACAGCTCAGAAGGCTGTGAGGAGAGCTGTGGCCCTGGGAGCGGCAGCAGGAGACTAGTGTGGGAGGCAGCCGAGGGCACGAGAGCTTCTGGCAGAAGGCTTTCCCACAGTGGGGCATCTCTGAGGACTGTTGGTGAGGCTGGGCCCGTTGGCCAGGAACGAGAGAGCCAGAGACCTTCAGGCTGAGGCTTCCTGGTGGAAGGGGGTGCATCTGTAAAGTGGGGATTTACAACACCTGCCCAAGAGGCCACGCTGGCCAAGGGACCAGGGCCTGGGAGCAGAAGCTGAAGGGACAAGGAGCATGGACAGAAAGGTCGCCTGGGTCTCAGAGCGGGACATGACCACTAGGGTCTCACAGGGTGGGGCACTGGCCGCCCAGGTTTCAGCAAGTCAGGTCTGGATCAGCACGCTTCTGGAGCGTAGGGATGTTATTCCCAGGTGCCAAGGAGATGAAGCCAGAGCCATTGCCCAGCGCTGAGGGGATGGAGCTGCCTTACCCGTGGGGTTACGCCTCAGTTGGATTAGGACAGCGGTTCTCAACGTGTGGGTTGGAGCCCCTTTGGGGGTCAACCCTTTCACAGGGGTCACCCGATTCATAACAGTAGCAAAATGACAGTGATGAAGTAGCAACGAAAATAACGTTATGGTTGGGGGGGGTCACCACACATGAGGACCTGTCTGAAAGGGTCATGGCAATAGGAGGGTTGAGAACCACTGGATTAGGAGACTGTGGCTGCCCAACACTGAAGGGACAAAATTGTCATCCCATCGGTCCGGGAAGGTGGAGCTGAATGATGCCCTCCACCTAGAATTTAGGGAGCCTGGCTAGCACGTGGAGATTCTGGAGGACAGACGGGTTGCCCACGTGGCCTCCGAGCATGGCCAGTCATTTCAAGCACTGAGCGTGTACACTGTGCTGCTGAGTCTCCACTGGCTTGGTGCCCATGAGCCCGCCCCTCCTCCTCCACTCTCTGCATGCAATGCAAATAGCTCCCTGGTACCTGCTCTGTCCGGGAGGCAGCTAATGTTCGACTGACTTTGGAAGTAGAGAATGTGTATGGAGGGGCTGCAAAAGTTCACGGGAAATTCCACTCCATACATGAAAATGGAATAAAATATATATATTTCTCTTACTCCATTTGTTCATGACCTTTTTGAAGCCCTCTTATACTCTGGGTTCATGAATCCAGAATTGAGAGTGGGCTTTGGGGAGGATACGATGGGATGTAGTAGGTTACACATTGTACTACTGACCACCAGATCAGCAGTTCAAACCAGCCAGCCCCTCCAGAGGAGCGGGAGGAGGCTTTCTGCTCCCATGAAGAGTGACAGCCTCCTAAGCCCCCGGGGCTGTTCTGTGAGGTCGCTGTGCGTTGGCATTGACGTGAAGGCAGTGACATTGGAGTCTTGGTGGTTCCACGGGCAAACACGTTTTGCATGTGGCAAGGCTAGGAATTGGGATCGGGCCAACTGTGGAAAGTTAAGGATTTAGTTGTGTCTCCCCCCAGATCTGTGTCATCTTGGCGGGGCCATGATTCTCAGTGGTTTGACAGTCACGTCACAGTGTGGTTTTGTGGTTATGTAACGCCATCATCCCCCTCCTGCGATCTGATGTGACGAGATCAGCCCACTCGTTCTATGGAGGTGAGGTGAGACGCAGTATCTGCCCCCAAGTCACAGTCCTGAGTCTGACGTCCGGACGGCATCACCTCGCACCGTCAAGAGAAGAGAAAGCAGGAGGGAGGAGCAGACAGAGGAAGAAAGAGCCGGCCGCGGAGCACAGCCTGTGGCTGCGAGGTCCCTGTGCTGAGAACCTCCTAGACCCAGGGGAAGCTTGGTGAAAAGAGCCAAGTCCCTCCCTCAGTGACTAGGAGCACCTTCCCCTGGAGCGGCTGCCCTGGATTCAGACTTCCAGCCTCCCAACCGGAAGCGGGGGCACATTCCTGTTGGTTCAAGCTACCCCCTTGGGGCGTTCACGCAACCTTCACAGTTACAGGGCCTGAGCACCGGTTCCTGTGGCACTGCTCTGGGCCAGGCGTTTGGTTCCCAAGGACAAGGCTACAACTCACAGACCTCAGACACAAAGCCTGGGCTGGAGCAGATGCCGGAAGGCCGAGCCCTGGGACTTGGGGCACCTGCTCACCCTAACCCGGCATGGCTTGCACAGTCCTGCCTTCTGGGGTGAATGCCTGCGAATCGGCGAAGGGGAAGAGATTGTGTGTCCCTGTGGCCTCCTGATCCTCCTGCTCAGGCATAACTGAGGCGCAGCTGAGACTAGAACAGCCTGGTGCCCGCCGAGAAGCATTGTCCTCCTTGTTAATCACTGTTCCTGAAATATCTTCTGTTCCCTGTGCCGCCAGGGCTCCCCACACCGCACACTCTTCCCGCTCATTATTTCTCTCCCCTCTGCCCTTGTTCCCAGATCAGGGACACCTGCTAGCCTAGCTGCTCGAGCCCCCTCCCTCCCCTGCCCCTGAGGCTCTGCCCTGGGGGCGAGGGGGCGAGCGGGCCTCCCTGCTCCCTGAGTAGGCAGCTGGGCCTTTGTTCCTCCCTCTTCCATCTTCCTCTGGGGTCTGGCCTCAGGGGTGCTGGCTCTCCTTTGCAAATGCCTGGTTCTCTGCTCCAGCCCTAGACCCTCACCCCTCCCACTCAGCCTCCTCCAGGGACCCCCTGACCAGCCGGCCGTGTCTCCCTGCAGGTTCCCAGGAAGGTGGTGTACGACCAGCTGAATCAGATCCTGGTGTCAGATGCGGCCCTCCCAGAAAACGTCATCCTGGTGAACACGGCTGACTGGCAGGGCCAGGTGAAGTGGCGGGTGGCAGGCATGGTGGGGTGGGGAGGGGAGGTCCCGGTTTCAGGGGTGGAGCAGCAGGGCCTCTTTCACAAGTACAATGTCTCCCCGGGAGGTGGGCACCCTCTCCAGCCTGGGGGGGGTGGCGATGTCCCTAATGCAGGCCTCACCTTGTCCCCCCTCCGCCCACCCCTGCAGTACGTGGCAGAGCTGCTGCAGGACAAGCGGAAGCCGGTGGTCTGCACCTGCTCCACCGTGGAGGTCCAGGCCGTGCTGTCCGCCCTGCTCACCCGCATCCAGCGCTAGTAAGGGCTGCTCCCCCGCCCAGCCACCACGGCCTCCCTAGCCTCCAGGCAGGCATTCGGGGCCCTCAGGGCATGCCCCTGGGCACCCTAGAGGACCCGAGACTCCTGTTCCGCTCCTCTTGGTCCACATCCCTGCAGCCCCTGCTGAGCCTCATCCCCTCACAACCCAGGAGGAAGGAGAGGGGGCCGGGCAGGTCCCTGTGTCCCTGAACACACCACCCCTGCTTCTGACTTCTGGCTTTTAAGCTCCGCCTGCTGGTCCTCTTCCTGAAGCCCAGCTAACTGGCTCCCCGAGCACGCACACACACACACACCCCACCATCTCCTTGTACACACACTCCTCCCACCCCACCCTCCCTGCACTAGCACCTGACCCTCACCACACCCAACTCACGGGCTACCTGCCCTCTCCTCTCGGGGCCGGCGGGCTGTGCTCTGGGCTGGGCTCGCTCCTGTCCCGGCCCCTGTAGGCAGGGGCTGGAGGGACTGCTGAGCAGCGGCCGCTCTGCTCCACTCCACCCTCCCCAGCTGCAACTGCAACTCAGCGGTGCCGCGGCCGGTGAAGGTGGCCGCCGTGGGTGGGCAGAGCTACCTGAGCGCCATCCTCCGCTTCTTTGTCAAGTCGCTGGCCAGCAGGACCTCCGACTGGCTCAGCTACCTGCGCTTCCTCATCGTGCCCTTGGGTAAAGTTGGCGGCCTCCCCAGGGCAGGCAGGGGGGGGTGGCCTCCCCACTGCCCACAGCCCCTTGCCCAACCAGTCCCTGCCGCCTCTCCACCCCAGGCTCCCACCCAGTGGCCAAGTACCTGGGCTCCGTGGACAGCAGATACAGCAGCACCTTTCTTGACTCTGGCTGGAGAGACCTGTTCAGTCGCTCGGAGCCCCCTGTGGCAGGTAAGGGCCCCCCAAGAGGGCAGCCCAGCACCCCAGGCTGCACTGGACAGCCATGTGGCTCTGGGCTGAGAAGGCCAGCGTGGCTCTTCACGCGAGCGCGTGCACTCACACACACACTGCCTTACTCTGCCTTCCTGGCCCCCACCTCTCCTCTGGCCCCGCTGAGCATCTAGAATGGGGGGGTGGGGGGACGGCAGGTCATGGAAGTCAGTGTGGGAAGCAGACAGCAAGGAAAGAGGTATACGGTACGGACAACGGGGCAGACCGAGGCGGGCTGCGGAGGGCGCCCCTTGTCCCTGAAAGGTGGGCGTGAGGTCTGGAGGCAGCTCTGCAGAGCCGGTCTGGTGGGGGCAGTGCTGTGACCCCCAGCTCCTGGGAGCTTTATGGCATCCCCACTGGGCCCCCTGCTTGTCCGCAGAGCAACTGGACGTGGTGGGGCGGGTGATGCAGTACGTCAGTGGGGCAAGCGTGACGCACCAGCTGCCCGTGGCTGAGGCCATGCTGACCTGCAAGCACAAGTTGTGAGTGCCCCTTGAGAAGCCCCCCGCAGGCTCTGCCCCGCCCCGCCCCAGGGGCGGGGGGGCGCAGAGTGTGTGTGATCACTGCATTCCACCCAGGCCTTCCCTTCCCTGCTCTGTACACCCCCTTCCTCCCATCTCTGCCCCCTCCCCCCAGGGCCCGGCAGCCCACCGGCGACTGGTGTGGGCAGCAGGGAGAGTCTGTCATTTTGCCTCCATTTGGAGAGCTTTATGTAAGACAGCAGTCACACACCCCCAGGCCCTCCGCACCCCCAGCTGCGATGGGCAGCTGCCCGGGTGGCCAGCCCCCTTCGAAGTCACAGTATGGTATCCCAGCACCCCACGGGTCCACACGCAGCACTGGTGCTCTGTCTCTCCCCAGCCCCGACGAAGACTCCTATCAGAAGTTCATCCCCTTCATTGGCGTGAGTAGCGACTCCTCTCCTCTCCTGTCTGCCGTCCCCCAGGGCCCCCAGGCCAGGTCTGCAGTCAGTGCTGCATTGGGCGTCACAGTGGGGGCTGCTGGCTGGTTCTTTCCTGCAGGAAAGCTGCTTCTAGCTCTTGTACACAAGCCGGCCCCTCTCTGGGCCCTGGGCCAGGCCTCTGTGCCCCTGGGCACGTGTTAACAGAGCCCTTTAGCTTTGCTGACAAGGCTCTGGACATACCCACTGCACCAGGAAGCCTCCCACCTGAAGGCCCTCACCTCTCTCGTCTGGTGGGTCAGCAAGCCTGGCCTGCGGGTACAGGAGCACTTCCCCCTGGGGTCTGGTTCAGGGGCAGCGGTGGGCCCTCAGGCAGAGGGCTCAGGGGCAGAGGGGGGCTCGTGGTAACGCGCTCAGCTGCCCTGTCTGACTAGGGGCTCTTCCCACATCCCTTTTCCTGTCATCTTGAGGCCCCTCGTAGCTCCTAGGGGTGTCCCGATGCGGGGTCCCCACTGCCTGCACGGGCACAGCTCAGACACACGACATGCCCCCACACACACACACACATACACACACACTCACCGCCCCACTCTGCTTCTCAAAGACCCCTTGGGCCTACAGGGCTTGTGGGTCCCTCAAAACCACCTCAGCAAGTCTGTCTCTGGCACTGCCCTTTCCTACCACAGGGGGTCCCCGCTGTCCTTTCCAGAATTCTCTGTGGGGCCTGTACACTTCTTTGGGAAGCTGACGTCAGCCCCACTGCTTGAGAGGGGCAGGCAAGGGCCTGGGACCCCCTCCCCCTGTGGCCTTTCCTCCTTCTGAGGCCAGGAGGCAGCCTCTGCGGGCCTCTTTAACCGCTGTCCTGGGGCTCCGGGGCTCCGGGGCAGCATGGCCCTGCCTGGGCTTTCTTTCCAGGCTGAGCTGAGCAGACTGCCCCAGTTTTGTGGGCCTAGGGGGATGAGGCCAGACTGTCCCCTGCCCCCAGGGCTCCCCACCTTCCAGGAGGGCTGCCCCTGCCTGAGGGCCCTGCCTGAGGGCCCGGGGAGCCCCGTTCCTAGGGACAGCCAGGTTTCTCCACCTCTTTCCAAGACTGGGGCTGCCCCGGAGGTGAACAGTGATCGCGTGCGGTACAGGCAGGCCTGGCAGCTCACACCCATGTCTCTCCTGCAGGTGGTGAAGGTGGGGCTGGTGGAGGACTCTCCCTCTACCACAGGTGAGCCTGATGACCGGCACCTTCACCTGGGGCCGGGGGCGTGTCCTAGGAGAAGTCTGAGTTGGGCAGCCTCCCATGGGGGGAGGGGGGAGCGCTGCTTAAGGGCCTGGAAAGAGCATGGCTGCCCAGCCTGGTGGGTAGGGTAAGGTGACCAGACGTTCCACTTTTGGCGTCTTAAAAAAAAATCCCAATTTTTGGAAAGAATGCACGACAAGCTAGGGAACGACAAGCTAGGGAACGGTCTATTTGGTCCTTATAGACCAACTTTTTAATCAAGAACCCACCACTGGTCAATGGTGTCCCGCTTTAAATCTGGTCACCTTAGGGCAAAGGTGGCTTCCTCCGGCCGACTTTGATTGTCCCTGCAGGTGACGGGGACGACTCACCTGTGGTCAGCCTGACTGTGCCCTCCACATCACCGCCCTCCAGCTCGGGCCTGAGCCGAGAAGCCACGGCCACCCCTCCTTCCTCCCCGTCCATGAGCAGCGCCCTGGCCGTCATGGGGTAAGAGCCAGCCGATCATCGTCCATGACAGCCCAGGCTCGGGAGGAGGACGTGGACACTAGTGCCCGGCCAGCCACCATGTGAAGGGCCCGACCGGGCAGTGTCCCATCCTCCAGGGCGGGGGCTGCTGCCATAGTGATTTGCAGGGGGTGTTGTGAGACAGCAGGGCCTCCGTGACGGGTCTCGTGCCAACATTCGGATAAGGGGACGGGGTCAGGGTCAGTAGGGACAGCACTCTGCCTTCCCCTGCCCCCTCCCCCCTGGCCTCTCTCCAGGGGTCCGCTGGACATGGTGCCCCTGACAGCGGTGAAGCCCTGTCTGCCACACCGCTACAGCCCCACCCTCACGTTCCAGGTCCCCTCTTCTGCCGGCAGGGTATTTGGGAAAAGGGACCCTCCACACACACCCCGATTCTGCTCTCCCTGCCCCCAGCACAGAGGGCTGCTGTCCCATGGGAATTGGGCAGGAGGTCGGGACTAACCGCTGAAGAACTTGGTGGCGTCATGGTGGCCAAGCGCCTGGCTGCTAATCCAGAGGTCGGCCGGGCACTGGGAGCCCAGCAGCTCCGAGGGAGACAGGTGTGGGGTGCTCCTGGCCAGGCTCTGGCCCTCAGGGCTGAGTGATGGGCGTGGGGCCCGGCCCTCCCCCGACCTCCTTTCCCTCCACCGGTGGAGGTGCTTGTTTTGATTGCACTTCTGCTCTGGCACAGGCACAAAGAAACGGCAGCTGTGACTGCTGTAGCCTGTGTACCTATTGTGTCTGACGCTTCCTTTCAAGAACACATCAGCCCTTTCCCCGGAGCTAAAATTATCCCTGAGAAGAGGAGCTGGGGCAGCCGGCAGCTCCCCGGGCTGGGCAGCTCTGCCATTGCCCCACTTAGGCCCCAGCGGCCGTGGGCACACACTGTGCGTCCTCTTAGGACTTGGCTACTCCACTCGCTGACCGCCTGGGGCCTTCCCCTCTCCTGGCTCTGTTCTCAGATGGACCTGCGGCTCCTTGCAGGAGGAAGGAGAGGGCACCAGAGGGGCCAGGCCAGAGAGCACCCACACCACCCCCAACCCCCTTCTAGGGACACTGAGGGCAGAACTGATGCCTCTTCCCCTCCCAGGGGCACTGAGGGCCTGGGCTGACCCTACCAACCCCTCACCCCCCGCCTCCCCCAGGGACGCTGAGGCCAGGGCTGAGCCCCCTTTCCCTCCCAGAGGACTAAGGCCAGAGCTGCCCCCTGCCCCCCTCTCTTTCCGGAGGCTGAGGGCAGGGCTGACCCCCCAACCCCCTGCCCTCTCCAGTAGCCCCAACAGCCCGTACGGGGACGTGATCGGCCTTCAGGTGGACTACTGGCTGGGCCACCCCGGGGGCGAGCGCAGGCGCGACGGCGACAAGAGGGATGCCAGCACCAAGAACACCCTCAGGAGCGTCTTCCTCTCGGTGCAGGTGTCCCGCCTGCCCCACGGCGGCGAGGCCCAGCTCTCCGGCACCATGGCCATGACGGTTGTCACCAAGGAGAAGAACAAGAAAGGTAGGTGGCCCCTGAGGTCCCGGGCTGCTGTGCCACCACACCTGGGGAAGCCAGCCACAGTCACAGTCATCCAAAGCGTGGCCCGGGCCTTGGCAGCCTGTGGAAAGGGGGCATCTCTAGGCCTGGGCTAAGAGGGAGGGCAACGGAGGCAGGGCAGAGCAGGAGACCCTGAGAGTGGGCACTTCCCTGGATGGTGGCCTCGCCTCCCTGTGGCTCCCTGCATCCTTAGGCTCTGCCTCCATAAGCACTCCCTCCCGCCAGCTGGGCCTGTCTGTCTCCCTGCCCAATGTTTGCTCTGTTCCCCAGAGCCCTGGGGGAGGTGTGGGGGTGTCTGGGGCACACAGACAGACAGCTAGAACCATTAGCTTGACCACCTCTGCTCTAGCTGTCCTGCTAGCAGCCAGGCAGGGTGAGTACCGACCAGGCAGGCGGCATCTACGCCCTCACAGACAGACGCCTCCACACACCCCCACCCCCACCACCACCATCCACACACACACTCCCACACAGAGGAGGCAGCCTGAGACATTTGCGCTGCAGGGACGCAGGCCCCATCGAGCCCAGGTCCTCCTGGTACAGATGACCACAGTGAAGCCCATGTCCAGGGCCCTGGGCTCTGTCCCGGAGCTTCCCACCCCAGCAGGGCTCCCTCCCCAGGAAAAGGCAGCCAGTGGGGGGAGGGCACTCAGCACCCACCTGTCTGCTTGCCACCCAGTTCCCACCATCTTCCTGAGCAAGAAGCCCCGGGAGAAGGAGGTGGACTCCAAGAGCCAGGTCATCGAGGGCATCAGCCGCCTCATCTGCTCGGCCAAACAGCAGCAGACTATGCTCCGAGGTGGGCTACCCGCCTAGGGGGCGCTGCGGGAGGGCTGACGAGGGCGGGGGATAGGACTGGAGGGGGACAGCAGGCCCTCCACCCTGCTCACCATCCCCGCCCCGCAGTGTCCATCGATGGGGTCGAGTGGAGCGACATCAAGTTCTTCCAGCTGGCCGCCCAGTGGCCCACCCACGTCAAGCACTTCCCAGTGGGACTGTTCAGTGGCAGCAAGGCCACCTGAGGGCGCTGTCTTCCGGCCACTCGCCCTCCTGGCACTGCCACCAGCCTCATGGCCTGCAGGCAGGGGACGAGCAGGCTGGGTCACCACACCTGCCCCCTGAAGGACACTGCCATGGGGGATGCCCCGCTGCTGCCCCTCCCCCAGGCCCTGGGCAGGGCCGGTTTGCCTCCAGCTGAGCCCCATCTGCCCTGGAGTAGAGTCCAGGGCCACCCTCCGGTTCTCTTTCTGCCCGTTCCCCTCCCCCCGCCCCCGTGGCACCAGGCCTCCCAGAAATAGGCAAGGTGGCTTCCTGAAGCCAGGAGGGGAGTCCACAGCACCACCTGCTGCTGCTCCGCCTCCACCCCCCAGGCTGGGCTGGGGCCCCTCCTGCCTCCCATGGGGTGGGGTCCGCTGAGCGGCCCACAGCTGGCTGGAGGAGGAAGCACTGCCTGCCCCAGGCTGAGCGAGGGTCCTGTGCTGACTGATGAGGAACCTGCCGCCCGCCCCGTGTCCTGTGTCCCCGAGTGTGCTCTGCCTGCACTGCCGCCCCTGGTCGTCTGGCTCACCCACTGGCTGGCTCACTGTGTGGTCGCCTGTCTTGTGGCTTCCTCCTGCCCTCTCCACCCCCCTGCCCACGCAGCTCTGCCTGGTCCAGTACCCCGGGC